CCAGTGTTCAGTGACTTCACCGCTCGGCCTCTGGTGGGCCTGCAGTCAAGGTCACTAATCATTATATTTGCTGGGCGGCCCTGCAGTTGTTCAAGATCAAAGTTCCTCTTTAGGCTGCGACTAGCAAGTAAAATTACGTGCTGTGTTCCGGCAGTCATAACATATGTGCTACTAAGAGTGCTGAAGGTAAAGAAGTGCATGAGCTGAGCGGTGCAGGATAGCTAAAGTGGTGAAGGGGGGTGACCAAAGTCACGTGAGCAACCCTGCAGTTGAAGTTCGAGGTTCCTATTTAACCATCAAAAATTAATCCCGGTAACTTTAAGCCCATTATGCAACTTCTGATTACTAATACATATAGGATACTTTTTATGGCATAAGAAAAATAAGAAGAAGCTTTAAAATATAATTGTAACGTTTACGTTAATTAACCCATTATCTTATTATTTGAATTATATTACTACTTGTACTTTTCATCAGTCCTTAGCAGGATATTCTTGAGATATGTGCATATAAAAACTAAGGGTACTATTCGGTTTCGAGGGCCGTAAAAATTCGCCAAACTATTGCTGATGCCAATGCTGCTAAATATAATTGCGGCAACCCTAATAACTGCGGCAAGAAAGGAGGTATAATAGTAAATAACTATCTAAGATTGATGTTTTAATTTAGATGAAAGGTTAATTTCATATAATACTTTTTTATTATTATAATTTATATGAAAAAGGCTAAACATGACTGAATGGGAGCATAAGGGTAAATAACTATTTCAGATTATTATTATTATAATTTATATAAAAATTGCTAAACATAACTGAAAGGATGCCCGCATCGCTATTTCGCCACCGACTTATCGCTAAAGCATAATTTCATCCCGTTGGTTGTTCAAACGTAATTATCTATAATGAATGATGCCTTTTCTTTGAAAATATTCTCGGTAAAATGCAGAATCGCTCACTTATTTGTTTGCCGCTTTTTACGAGGGTAAAAACAATTGAATTTTTGTCAATTTTCTTTTACTTTTTAAGTGAAAATAGGTCGATGTGTACATAGATAAAGTCAAGGGTGTGCGCAGTGCCATTTTGTGCAATTCTAGGATTTTTTTTAAGTGAAAATAGATCGATGTGCACATAGATACCGAGTATGCGCAATTCTTAAAAACGCGTCAAGCAGTGGGTGATTCTGCACTTTACCCAAAATTCTATTGCCGACTTTTTGTCATGGGCAATTCCCAAATTGCTAAATCCATAGGATATCAGAAAAAGTATTTAAAATCAAATAAGGATTTAAAAATTAAACTAGTATGTCAATGGCGTCTTAAGAAATATAGAACTATATACTTATATCTGAAATCAACGCGTACGCTAGATTTGGCGCGCTGTTAAATGTGCGCGTTTGCTAGATTTGGCGCTTTTGTGCATACATTTTCGCCGCAATTTTTTTACGGCCCTGAAAACCGAATAGTACCAAACTAAGTTCTTGAAAGTTAGGGAGACAGCTTTGGCAACGATGCTGATCGGTGTGCTATTCCTTCGCCCAACTCTGAGAACTGCATTATTCGTCATTAGCCTTTGAGTCGGAAGGTTACTCGCGCAGTTAGTTTAGAATTGAGCCAACGCTTGCTAGGCTGTCCATTTGTAAATAAATCTCCAGAATGAAATTACTGTAATCCTTTTTCTCAATTCATCAACCTTGATCAAATACTCGGTTGAATGGCTCGACATTCAGCAGATATGTCATCTTTCTATTGTTGTTAAAACAGACCCAGGGAATAAATCATGCAGCTAATATTTATAAATAATTCTAATAGTAGAGTTTAATGGCCGAGGTGCTAATTAAGCCTAGAGGATGGCTGCTCCGATATTAGTGCAAAAGTGTTACAAGAAATGTTTAAACTACTTTCATTTTAATTCATATTTTATGTTACCTGAGTCCCGCTAGCTGGGAAGACGACTTCTTTAAACAAAAGTTGCGCATATAATTAGCTCAAAATTTCAAATTGAACGGTTTGTTTAAACTTTCTTCTGTGTCTAGACGTGATTATAAATCGCCTGACAGCCTGACGCGGTAGGGTCAAAGCAAAACTAATTAAGGAGTGGAACACTACAACACTGGCTCAACTTAAAAGGAAAAGATGTAATGATATTTGACATTTTCCTTGAGTTTGATAACAGCGATGTTAAAAACTGAAGGAACATTTACAAGCCATATGGAAGATTTTGAAAATGTACTTCATATAATGCGAAGCGTCAGTGAAGCCAGCCATAAGCTTTGATGGAAGAAATTCTGTTTTGATTTTCACAGAAGGCCTTGAGAGTCATACCTATAGTATTTATTGGGAGGGCAATGGATGGAGCAGTCATACCTATTTTATTTTATGGGAAAGCAGCTGCCATGGCAAAGTCCGTTCAGATATGTCAAGAGCTGAATTGTTCAAAAATACAGGGAAGAATTTATTAGGCGAACGGGGTAATGATAATTAGAAAATCTGACCGTTGAAGGCCGTATTTGTGAAAACATTCCTCGCATTCAGAGAGAGAGAGTCGAAATTGAATCAGAATTATTTGCAAAGTATCAAATATGATCAAATATGAAAGGTAAAAACTATTTTTATGCAATAATATAACAGCTGTTATCATGTGGACAATAGAAAACTGCTGTATGGAAGTAATCCTGACTTCGAGGTTATATAACTAACTAGCTGTGAAATTTGAAAATCGGCTATTGACAGAAAGTAAGCGTGTATAGAAAGTCGGTGATAGCGGTGGTATTTATGGAAACAGAGTTGCAGAAAAGGTGATGGTGAGAAACAATGCTTTGGATACCAGCAAAGTTTTTTGTGAAGTAGACAAAGTTTTGTGAAAATTAACTTTAGTCAACATTAAATGAAAGCTTTTACAGGCAAATAGCTAGGCAGCAATTTTTCTGCGCCTTATTTTAAACCGAAATTATAGTCCACAAAGTACAAATTAAAATACAAATTGTTTCGCCAACCTGTTTGGCACAGTCGCAAGGAAACCGGCTGCAATTGTCTCGGCAAGTGTTCGAATCCTGGAAACAGCATGCATATTTATAATTGTTTTGGGGGCACGATGCACTTAAAATAATATCAAGTCGAAAGTTCTTTCTAGATGGTGATGGAAAAGGGGTGGAAAACACTATGTTTCCCAAGGGATTTTCAGCAGATTCGTACCATATTAATTGATAAGATGCTCGAGGCCTATACTAACGATAGGCGTAAGCCTTGCTTCTTGGCACAGTAAGACGTAGACTTGATCTGATGTTACTCTCTGTTAGGCAAGTGAGATAAGCCATAAAAACAAACTATTTTCAAAGAAAGTAAAAGAAAAATATTTAACTTTACAAGAATATTAAGAAACAAAATTTCAGTTGATTCAAGCTTACAGCTTAAAAATTTCAAATCAGAACTTACTATTATAAACTTAAAAAATGTAATGATATTGATTATTACATTTTTAGGCAAAATTACACTAATTAAATATATGTATCTACTATATTAAAAAAATGAAACATAACGTAAAACATCATAAAAAATTGAAAAACAGTGACTAAACTTAACGTAAAACGTCATAAAAAATTGAAAAACAGTGACTCTCTATGAGTTGTATATAATATCTTACGTTGTATATGATATTAGAAACGTCTTATATTTACTACAACAAGGCTATAATACTCACTAGAAATTATCAATTAAATACATTTCAATTAAATGCAATTTTTAAATTTATATCAATTAATATAATAAAAATTTAAAATATTAAGAATTACGTTTATAGCTTAAAAATCGCTCAGTTTGTTAATCAGTAACAGACTGATTGCTGATTGAGATTGAAAGAAAAATTAAAGATCTTACCCTTTACCAAATGGCAGCATACTGAGACCCGGTTATATATGACGACGCGTAGATGATTTTTAATATCTCTTGTTTCTTGTAATGACTACACATTCCTTTTAAATCGCTCAGTTTGTTAATCGAAAACATACTGATTAAATATGGAAACTAAATTATGTCTTTATCCTGTACCAAATGATAACACTTTATGAGGCTTTGCGCTTAGAAAATGAATTAAAGGTCATTAAGATAAATTAAGGGTCATTTGCCAAAGGCTGCTTCCATATTCTTTCCGTTATTCTCATCCGTCCGTTTTGTTCGGTGTTGGTGTATTTAATTATAAGGGAAAGATGCTTTGTGGAGGACTTTCTAAGGGAAACTGGCTCGTATACACGTTGCACATGGGGAAAACCACAAAAACGCCCATGCAGCCAGCCCGTTCGCGGGATTCGAACCTCGGACCGAACTACCAGTGTTCAGCAACTTTACGATTTTGTTCGGACACTATATTGTAGTGAAAAGTTTACAGTTCCTTCAGCAATATAAATAACAATCGAAAATAAATAAATAATAACAAAATGTTAATAAACAAAATAATCAAAACTTTAAAAGCAGAGATATTTAAAGCATTCAAACAAAATGAAAGGAAGAATATTATTTTTAATAATAATCATTCATGAATATATTTTTAAATAAATAGCTTACCTCTCACTAAGTATCTCTGTATCTAATAAGAACACAACGTACAATTAAATTAAATCTTTCTAAAACTGTAAAAACTGCACTTATTCTTTAATATTTTGAAACTGTGTATTTAAAATTTAATTGCAGTATCTTAAAGCAGTTTACAAATTCCAGACTTAATTCGTAAACTTGGTTTGAAATTACGGAACATAAAATCAAAAAATTCTGAATATCTATTCAACGAAATACAGACATTATCTAATTCAGAAGAATATTTAAAAAATAAAATTTAATAATTTTTAAAGAACTAGAAAATTTCAATTTTCTAACTGATAAGGAAAATTATACAAACTTAAAATTATACAAAATTTCAACTTCTAATTCACAAACATTTAACTTTTCATATTACTTATAAATTTAATTTAAAATTTATGTCATATGAGATAAAATAAAAGATTCAAATTACCTAATGGTGAAATATATTCGGCCTTGAAGGCTGTAGGAATGATGTAGTGCTTCTGAATTTTAAATCCTTTCTTTTCCAAAGCGCTCGTGAGAACATCGTGCGCGTGAAATTCCTCAAACGCAAGTTCTGGAGTCTTCCATATATCCCGACTCACGAAATTTAAGAACTCCTGCTCTTTGTCTATTTTTGAGCAAACGATGGCAAAATCTTCATCAGACATGTCTGTTTTTTAGCAGTAATATAGATTTGAATTTTTTTACGAAGCTTTGTTCGACTTAAATTGTGCAATTAAAGCTGAGTCATTTTGCAACTAAAAACTTTATACCTGCCGCTGATTCGAAACCAAATTGTGCTGACCTGGAATTTTTAATGAAATGTACGGGGTGAAAAAAACAATGGAAGTAATATAATCAGCTGGAGAAAACTCAGCAACTGTGTACGAGGAAAGACCTAAAGCACAGAATAACATTCACATCTTCCGCGTTCTGCGAATTGACGCGCCTTCGAGCACGTGACACACAAAGAAGTCAGACGTCTTATTCCACACATGCTAAGTCTTTCTGCCCGTAGTGCCAAAAAAAAATTACACGCGTAAGAAAAGTAAACACTTTTATTAGGAATACAACAAAATTTCGCAATGCTTGATAGGAAACTGAAAAGCCAGAAACAAGTGGGCCATTAAAAAAAATAAATATAAAAAAAAAAAAAAAAAGAATCCAGGTTATTAGGTCATGGCTTTTGATCAAAGTGGTTTGCGGTATTATTTGATTTGATTTTATGACCAAGGTTTAAAATATTTTAAAACTCATTTTAATGCATTTATATAATAATTTTTGGAGGTGGGTTACAGCATTTTTAACAAAATTTAAATGTCTAATGTTTTTGGTGCCAACGATTAACAATGTGTGAAGGAAAGAAACTTTGCAGTGACGGCGCCGTCTATCGAGGGGGGGGGGACATCATCCGCCTTTCAAGACTCGTTTCATCGGCTGGAGTTAAACCTGGGAACTGTTGCTTATCAATAAATATGGTGTTTAAATATTAAAATAAGTAAATAAACTTGTTATCAAAGATCAATTCAGAGATTTGCTTTTTAGCTCGTCACTCACTACACTTCCCCCTACCATTGATTTTAGCACGATATAGGATTTATTGTAACGATAAGAGAGGACGGAATATAAGTAAGATAATAAGTTTCGGTTGAGGGAAGCAAGTAATATCCACAATACTTGTCATCACCAAGTCGTTTACAATTGATTGGCCATACGTGAATGGCAGGAATTAATGGTAGTGGCGACATCTATCGACGTGAATATCAGGTACTCTCCAAACGCTGACTTCATGTACTAGATTTTGATTTGGAAATTTACTGCATTGTTTTAAAATGAAAAAACGTGTTTTAGAAAACCTTTTCAAACAGATATCTCTTGTAACACACAGGAATAATTTTAACACATATTTCAGAAGCCCATTCACCTACTTTTTGACAATCAGTTTTTATTATTTATATTACTAATACTAAACTGTTTACATCAAGTTAATATTAAATGTTTATTATTAATTTAATAATAATAAACTTTTTTAATATTAAGGTATTTTTAAGTATTATTCGAGTGACTTCTGTTAATACTTTCATAACAGATCTAGTAGTTTTATAATGTTTTGTATTCTAGTCCGTTTTCAGAGCTAGTATATTTTTGATTTTCCGAGTAACGATAATAAAAGTAACATTCTAGTGTTATACGTAAGAATTTCTATTTCAGCTTGAAGTACAAGATGATATTTAACAAACTAAATCACTTAAAACAACGCTACAAATTCTTTTAGGCACGTATTTTACGAAGGATTAAATCCAAATTTAGATTATTTTGGATTGAATATCGGTTAAAAACGAAGAAACAGGGGTAAGAATAAAAGCTGTTCTGCAATAAGTTTAGATGAGAGTAGGTTAAAAAAGTATAAATAAGATGTTTTAAGGTGAAATATTTTTTAATCTTTAAGCTCTTAACCAGATTTACGAACAAATAAATTTCGAAGATGGTGTGTTAAAAAAGTTAGTGATGATGAAGTCTGAAATGTGCAAATCAGACAACTTATATTACAGTGCCTGACATTTGCTTCCGGATACTTGTATTTTTCAGTTTTATTTGCAAATATCATTTACTAAAAACTAATTAGCAAAAGAACTTTGTTTTTCTAGCACATATACATCGTCCTCTTTTTTAAAGATTTTTTAATTTACTTATTTTGAAAAAAGTTATTCAAAATGGTTTCAGTTGAAAAAAATATTTATTCAATACGTTCTAAAAATTAACTCACATAAGTTTTCGGACACTTTGAACAACAGTTTATATTTAATAAAAACATAAAAACGAAGGGACATTAAAAATTTTGTTTGGTATCCTTTAGTTAATACTACACATTTCATGCGCTTTGGCACGGTTTTAATTAAATTTTCCATGTAAAAATATTCCATATTTTCCTATTCCTTTATAAAAATTATTATTTTTAGTACAGTGTTCCAAGAAACACAATTTTCTCCCCCCCCCCAATTATTTCCATACACGTTCGATAGGGATTAAGTCGGGGAAAATGGCGGAGTTTTGAAGCGGCTGGGAGCTAGACTTTTTGCCCAATTCTGCCGCCCAGTTCATTCCTATTTTGAAAATTTTGCTACTCTTAAATTCTGCCGCCAGGTGCGGACGCATCCGGCCCGACCCTTTGTTTTGATGGCCTCAGGACAGTTGTAAAATAACCAAAAACGAAGATTTAAGATTGTATGCTTAGGATCATCATCCTGATAGAACTTGAATGTATTTTGCATTCCAAGTTTTCTTGCAGTTTCTTTCTTTTAAATTTCATTAAGAATATTTCTTCTCCCGTGCTTAGCAGTTGGCAATAGGATTCCCGGATTCAATTCTTCATTCAACTTTAGCCGCATAAAAATCCATCCATCTGGCCACCCAAACATACGTACGTACGTACTGACGCCAAGAAAAAAAAAAAAAAATCTCTTCTGAATCCATTTTAAATCAGTTTTATAATTCGTTTGGGGGTAAAGAGTTCTTTATTCTGTCCTTACGTACAGATGTCACGCAAAAACATTGTTAAATTGCATTCGATAGTGCTCAAAATGGGCATTTTCATTGAAATATGATACTCGGAATTTTTTGTGATTGCAATACTTCCTTTACTTCGTACAAGGGAAGCAAAAAAGGCTAAACGTAACTGAATGGAAGCATAATAGTAAATAACTATCTCAGATTATTTTTATTTTAGATGAAAGGTTAATTTCACATAACATATTTTTAATATAATTTATAAACCAAGTGCTGAACATAACTGAAAACGTATTCATATAATACATTTTTATTATTTTAATTTATACAAAAAAAAAAAAAAAAAAAAAAAAAGGCTAAACGTAACTGAAATTAAATAAATCAATAAATTTTTTTTGTCGTCTTCCAACACAGCAGAAAAAATTTAACTTTTTTTAGCAAACGTCTGTACATAAACTCGGACAAATAAGAATGTAAATGCTGTCAAGCAGTGCCCCGATGGCGTTTATTACGCCATTTAGCTCTGCCCCACAACCGCCCTATTGTTTGTGTATGATACTCACTTTCAGGGTCCACAACATTATAGTTGTGGTTGACAGTAGAATGTTTAAAGCCAGCATTTTGCAGTTCATTTGGCTTGTATGATTTCTAGCAGTCAGAATAATTCCGTTAAAAACTGTGGTGGAAGAACACATCCAACGTTATTCTTTCTTCTAATGAAAAGGCTTCTCTTTCAATAATTTTGCCAAATCCGCCGATTTTCAACTTACGCCGAGCAATTCAAACTGCGGCACACACCTCACGCATGTAACTGTTCCAGTCGACAATTGTATTGTGGTTCATCTTCAGCTGGAGTTCATAAAATTCAATAGCTGTCATCTCCTGACACCAAAAATTACATGAGCCTAAACGCTGTAAGGAAGGGAATTTTCGATCCTTCAAACCAATTTTGATTTCCTAATCTTTTCTTCTCATTACAGGTTTCTTTACTGCACCGCCATTTCGCTTCTGAGTTACCGTTAAAGCATAATTTCATCTCTTGGCGGTTCGAAAATAATTTTCTATCAGGAATGATGCCTTTTCTTTGAAAAAAATTCTATTGCAGACTTTTCGTAATTGGACAATTCCCAAATTGTTGGATCCATAGCGTTATCAGAAAAAAAAAAAAAAAAAAAATTAAAAAATAGCATTTCAATAGTGACTTACAAATGCAGAATTATCTAAATTTACTCACTCTGAAATCGGCGCATTCACTAGATTTGGCGCTTTAGCCCATATCTAACAAAAGCGAGCTGCATTTTTATGGTCCCTAAAACGGGAATTGCACCGATTTTTTTTCCTTTTCTTTGCTAACCTACCATTTTATCCTTGTACCCTAATTAGGATCGGCGCTAGGCATTTTTGCCACCAGGTGCAATCTATGGGGCTCTTGAATTCTGCTGCTCTGCAGTTCTCTAAATTCTAAACATTATGCCACCCTTAAATTCTGTTGCATAGTGCTTCCCCTAAATTATAAAAATTTTGCAATCTCTAAAATTTTCTGCTGGTGGCTTGTCTTAATTGTAAAAGCTTTGCCGCCCCTAAATTCTAGCTCCCAGTGCGAATGCACAAGTCCTAAGCCTAAACCCGAATGAGACTTCTAAAAGTTTCAGGATTAGATTTTATTGCCAAAACATTCTTCAAATCCGCTTACGTTTCACAGCATTTTTTTTTTTTTTTTTTTTATCTTCTTCGATTTTTTGTAGGAAAAATCTCCGATTTCTTGCTGTTAGCTATGAATATGGCCCAGACTTCAGTGCAATTTCAATGGTTCCAACCAATATCCATTGCTTTAACATCAAAGACACCACAATGCCTGACATCAAGAAACATTATGGATATTTTGAATCCTTCACCCCCTTTAAAATGATGAAAAATTAAATTTTGAACAGATCTTGTCGTTAACATGCAGTGTTTTGCTATATTCGTTTCAGATACGGAACTGTTGATAGATTTTGCTAAACAAGTAATCATTTGTAAATGTAAATTGTAAGGCATTTTATGTTCATTAACTAATTGTTATGATTTTAGCTTTTACTATAACTTCTTTTTGTTTTCCTTAATAGAATGCAAATTAGTTGTGTTTATTTAAGATCAGGGTTCTGAATGTTTAGATTAGAGCTTCTGTCAGCCTTGTCTTGCTGTTACTTACTCTCGCCTTCCAGCCGGGATAGTGGTTGCCTGCCGTACACAAGGGTTTGGGTTCAAATCCCGGAGAAGGCATGGTTGTTTGTAAGCGTATAGTGTCTATACGTCATTCTAAATATTTGGTGAGCCAAAAGTCCTCTCGAGAAGCTGGTATAATGTAAGAGAGATGGGAGACCCTTGGACCGCACCCAGGTCTCTAAAATTAGGCCAAGACTATTACTGCTCAACCAATGGTAAACCTCTGATGTCCCGCACACTTCCGCCTATACCTATTACTGTCGTCAGCTCTGCTTTAGCGACTTGCTAGCTGATGTTTTAAAATACGGGCCGTTAAATAATTGAGTCAGCCTAAATAGGTTTCTTATCTGTAATCTCAAACT